TGATCACTGTTTTAAAAAAAAAATATCTATTATTTTTATTTCTATGTGTTGATACAGTGTAATGCCTGCATGTAGGCGGTGCACCTGTGTCCTGCAATGCCCATGGAGGTCAGAAGAGGGCGTCAGATTCCCCTGAAATTGGAGTTAAGGATGGTTCATAGCTACCATGTAGGTGCTGGGAATCAAACCTAGGTATTCTGCAAGAGTAGTCAGTGCTCTTAACAGCTGATCCATCTCTCTAGCCCCTCAGCCTGCTTTTTATACAACCCAGGACCACCTGCCCAGGGGTGGCACCACCCACAGTGAGCTGGGCTCTTCCACATCACTCCACTGTCAAGAAAAAATGCCTCAGAGTCATGCCTACAGACCAGTTGATAGAACAGATTCCCCAACTGAGGTTCCCTCTTCCTAGGTATGTCAAATTGATAACTGACCCTATCCATTTTACCCCTTATCTCTGTAGGGTTTAAAATACCACACAAAAGAGAAGGGGAATTTGAGTTTTTGGCGCCTAGGCCTTGGCTCTGAGTCTGTGAGTTGGCGATGAAAGCACCTCTGTGCTTGCACGACCACCTTTTCTACTGCTATAACCAGGGCTTTGTTCAAGTCCATTAGGGGAAAGCTTCCTCCTCTTGGTCAAAAGGAAAGAATCCAGGTTCTGCCTCTAGCCTAGGATGGAGACATGACATTCTGATATGCTCAAAAAATTAAAGCCCCACACTACTGTATCTTTCCTTAAGAGTCGTCATCACCTGGCCAGGGGACGACTTCTGAGGAAAGCTGATTCACTGAAGAGATGCTAAGGTGATGGCAGGACTAGTCATCCCCTGACTGTGACAGTTCAGGCATCCTTCTCAGAAGCCCCTTCCTCAGTGCAGGCACTTAGAGAGCTTCCATGTAGTACTGTGAAACCTCTGCTTTTCTGAGTTTTAACTCAAAACAATGAAACTTTCCCTTTTCTTCCTGCTCTCCCTTTCTCTGAAGCTCCTCCCCTGCTCTCCCCACCTGCCTCTTTTCAACATGCAGCTGCTTCCAACTTCCACTGCTGAACTTCCCCATCTCCCTTTTCCTGGAAGCTGCCCGGGTTTACAGCTTGCCTGCCCTGATGTTTTGCTCTCAAACTGCAATAAAATGGTCATTGAGCTTTTCTGAGACAGGGTCTCCCTGTAGCCCCAGCTGGAATTTGCTATGAGTTGCAGGCTGCCCTTCCTCTCACAGAGATCCGCTGCCTCTGCCTCCCCAGTGCTGGGATTAAAGGCATGTGGCACCACATCAGGCTCCTTTTGTTTTTAAATTATTTTATTACAGAGACTAAGGACCCAAAGGGAACCCTGGTAAGCCTGGCAAGAAGACTCAGTATGGCTTTGCTGAGTTTGTAGATTCAGGGTGCAGGGTGTGGTGGGGTAATATTCGGGTTGAGGTGAATTTTCAGTAACATGCAGGACAAAGGAAGGCGGGTGAGGGACAGCAAAGCCAGGCCAAGCAAAACAGAACCCCCCAAACAAACAAGAACAGCAACAAAGGGGGGACTTAACTGGTGTTCTGTGAAGTGAGTCATGTGGGCGGACCCCATTCTCTCTCCCAGGAGAGCTTTAATGGAGTTTCCTTTTCAGGAGAAAGCTGCTGTGTGAGAGGAGTCTGTGAAGGGAAGTAGAAGTGCAGGGCTTGGCATGTGAGGAGAGATGCGCACAGGCAGAGAAACCTGCACTGCAGAAAGAGGACCAGCTCATCCCTGGTCAGTACAGCTGATCCTGAGATCAACAGCCCTGTGCTCTGTCAGTCCTGTCAAGAGCCTAGGAAGTAAGAATTAGTACTTTTCACATGTTGTGGAGGATGGGATTGAGTAGAAAGTATGAATAATTTATCCTGACTTAACACTGGGGGCTGAGCTCAGCCTGTTACCTCAGTGCTCAGGCAGCAAACCTAGCAGTGTACAGTGTCAAGTTTGCTCTAACAATGACGGGTTACCTAGAACCCAGCTGGCCTCAACAAACTCCACCAAGGAGAGGAAGGGAAGCCAGGGAAACTGAACAGAGGGAGGCAGGTGGGAGCCAATTAGGGACAGATGTCCTAACCCAGGCGCTCTCTCCAGCCTCACAAACGTAGACAGGACTCACTGGACAGGACCCCTCCAGGTGCACAGAGGACAGTCCTCCTGTTGGGGTGCAGAGAGGCACCCGGAAGCGCATGCACCCCACGAACTTTCTCAGACAAGCTGTCACTGCCTTAGTTGGCTGGAGGACGTGGGAGGAAAAGTGGAATCTTTGTTGTCCCCACTCAGTACACTTCGTTTGAATGTGTGTTTTAGTCTCTGGGAGGCACCGCCAGGAGGCTGCAGGGCGGGCGGAGGGGAGTTTGAGTCTTTGGCGCCTGGCTCCTGGCCTGTGAGGCTGAGCTGGCACTGGCGGCCCTCTGCACTTGCTCGTCCTTTTCCACTGCTACAACTGTGGCTCTGCCGATGTTCTCTCTAGGAAGTGCTTCTTCCTTGGCTGGTGAGGGCTGGACAGGGTGCGTTAGTATTGTTTGCCTTGGGATCCTTCTCCAGGCATGGTCAATATCCCCTAACCCTATCTATAACTGTAAATAGCTAAAGAAAAACTCCTCAAAAAATTTCGGTTTGTGCTATTTTTTTTTTTTTTTTTTTTTTCCTTCTGGCACAGTCTCAGGTCTCAAGCGTGCAAAGGAAGATAACATGAAAAGTGAAATAGGAAACAGGTTTACAGCAGTGTGGACTGAGAGGTGGGGCCTGTTTGTCACTTTGACCCATTACTCTCCTTTAATCTTTTGAGACAGATCCTCTCTCTATAGCCCAGGCTGGGCTGGAACTCACTATGTAGTCAAGATTGACTTCAAGTTCCTCCTTCAGCCTCCCAAGTACTGAGATTGTGGGTATGTTTAATCACATCAACCTTTACCTTGTCCCTTAAATGAATGTAAGAGGCAACCTTCTCCCCATGACATCACATTTGAATGACTGGAATAAAGGATGGTTGGCTTAGAGGGTAAGTGGTCCGGATAAGCCTATTGAAAACCCCGTCATATGAAGTTGCCATCACCAGATTTTAGAAGCATGCCTTGTGTCTCCTGCCTTTTCCTGAGGAGCCCTGTGATCCCTTCATTCAGCATCTCAATGTAGAAACTTAGGACTATGAACTCAGACCAAAATTTAAAAAAAAACTTTGAAAACAAACAAGTCATAACACAAATCCTTACCTTTCTTCCAGTCTTCTGTCAGAAGATGAGGAGCTGATCTGTGCTGAATGAGAATCTTCTGGGACTGAAGGATGCTAGGGTATCCCTCTGTCTGCTAACTCAGGAAATGCTTGTAGGAGCTGCAGTAGGAGCTGGTGAACAAGTGAGACTTATGGATTTGCCAGGCTGCCTATGTGATTTCCTCTGCAGGGGCTGTTGACTAATCAGAGACCAGAGCAGTGTGAGACAGGGTTCCTCACAGGGATGCTCTGGATGCCTGCCCAAGTTCCACTCATGAATCAGCCTCTCCCATCCCTCCTTATCTCATATCCCCCATCCTCTGTAAGTAATGGCTATTCTGGGGCCTTTAATTGCCAACCACGAGCCTAGGCAACAGCAGTGCCAAGCAAACCGAGTTGCTTGTGAGGTTTTGTAACTAAGGGTATCACAGTGTCTCTAAAGTTGCCATGGCCTGACTTTGCTTTTTGTTTGCTCCTGTTTTCTTTCCCTAGCGGTATTCATTTGCAAGCACTCTCAATTACAAATGATGGGCAAGTGAATGTGAAGTGAAATTCTCCAGTGTTATGCTTGCTACACTTTCTGGTTTTTCTTTTCTTTCTTCTGAATAGTAAGGCTTTTGTTCCATTTGAAGTACTCACACTGACGGGTACATCACCTGAATTCCCTTATAAAACATAGAGTTCAGCTCACACAGCAGATACTGCTTGCTCCCTCCCATTCATGAAATTTATTAAGTATTTTTTTCCTTCAAAAAAATTCACACAATTTATTTTTCAATTCCTTAGAACTAGTCAAATGAAGTTTTAATTAGTCTTATGAAAATGCCCCCAGTGTTTCAGTATATAGGCATTCTCAGGCATTCTTAATGACTATAGGTATCCTTAGGGCTCATAGCATGGCTTTACTATTCCCAGCTTTTCTAGCTCTCTGTAGACACACAGTCAGATAAGCAGATCAGTTGGCTGGCTTATTGTTTACGTATTTTTGTCCAGTGTAACTGTTAACTGTTTTGGTTCCTTTTTTCAATTTAAAAATTTGTTAGCACTGCTTCTTTAAAAAATAACATGATTACATTGAAAAACTTTGTGTAGGTTGGAGAATTTGGAAAGGGAGTGAATGCCAAACTCACTTTACAGCAACAATGACAAATTTCACATTGTCGTTGGAGCCTGGTAGTACAGTTTTGTCAGTAAATAATATTCAAAATTATAGTAGACCTATAGAATAGTGGATTTACATTCTAAAATACAATTATATATTTTAGTTTGGGAATTGTATCAGTTAATCTATTACAGTACTTTTTTTTTTTTTAAACTTCCCAGACTGTGATTTTTATTTCAGAATTCAGTTAGATGTTTTACATTTTCTGTAGGACACACTGGGACTGTAGAAGAGTACTAGAAAAATAATGGAAAACCTCTTGGTACCTGGGACTAGGAGAGGTCAACATCCTGACTTGGATGCCCAGGACCATGTGTGGAGTCAGGACCACAGTTGGCCCTCAGGGGAGGTGGAAGTCCACTCTAGAGAATCAGTCTTATCAAGACCAGAATCTGCAAATGACAGAGACCTCCCCTGTTCCTAGCACAAGCTCTACACAGAGGCAAATCCACTGCCATGTACAACCTGGGATCTCTGGGGAAGGGGCTGTGGGGAATGCAGTGACTCAGAGAAGGCTGAGGCTGCTGTCTAACATCTCGAAGTCCTCTATCCTCCACTCTGCTCCCCCCATCTGCTTACCACCAGAGGAGTGTGGAACCATGGCTAGTGGTAGGGGACTAAAGTTCCAGGTTCACGTGAGGGGACTGCAGCTCCAGCTCACAAGAGGGGACCACAGCTCTTGGCTAATGAGTGATGTATCTCCATGTTTCTAGCCTGTGTGTCTGTGTTTTAATCACTTTGTAAAACATTGGGCATATTGCATTAGGACACACCGTGGTGAAGTCATCTTCATTCAGTCATTTCTTTATAAACTCCATCTCCAAATACTATCCACTGACACAAAAGCATAACTCTCATCTCAAAGGGCATAAGAGATAGCTTATTCTGGAGTCAAATATGAGTGATTATGGCCCAGGAACAACGATTTAGGTTACCCCAAATTCCATGTTCCAGCATGGTAATAGTGATATCATGTTTTTATAGTAAAAGAACAAAGAAAAGTCATAAATCAAGACACTTTCGAAGTACAGTGGTGGGTACATTCAGTAGGCAGCTCATAGCAAAGTGGAGGGGGGTTCTGCTACAGGTCTCAGATGCTGTCTGATGACATTCTTAGCTTTTTGATTGGTGTGGGACCTGGGGGTCTGCTAAATTAATAAAATTTATTAGCCATAAGAATGCTAATTCAGAAACACAGGTAGGCAAGGTGTGGCTATTTATGGGGTGAAAGATGACTCCAGATAGGTTCTGGATCTGCAGCATTCCAAACTCTGCGCAGTCACTGAGGTGTTAATCAGTTGATCAGTTCTGCAGGAATCTTAGCTCAGGATGCAGGAGTTCTTTCTGGGAACTTTCTTTCACAACTGAAGGACTGACCCTACTGTTGAAGACAGGACATGCTTCATATACAGGACTTGAAGGAATGGAGCAGGAACTGACTTGGAAGCCTTCTAAATGAAGTTTGGCTATCATAACGGTAGATGTTGATATGTGTATTAGTCACTTTTCTGTTGCTGTGATAGAGACACTGACCCGAGCAATTTATAGAAGAAAGGGTTTATTTAAGCTTATGGTTTCAGGGGAATTACAGTCCGTCATGGCAGGGAGGCATGGTGGCTGGAGATGGCTGGAGCAGGAACAGCAGAAGTGAAGCTCTCACATCATCACACAGGCACAGGAAGCAAGAGAGTGACTGGAGATCTGGCAAGGCTTAAGAATTCTCTAAGCAGCCCCCCACCCAGTGATGTGCTTCCTCCAGGATAGCCACACCTTCCAAAACCTCCCAAAACAGCGCCATCATCTGGGGACAAAATGTCCAAATACCTGGAGCCTATGGGGAGCATTTTCATTCAAACCATCACATTCCACCCCCTGGCTCCCATAGGCTCATGACCATATGAAATGAAAAATGCATTTAGTCCAACTTTAAATGTCCCTATAGTCATTATCAGTCTCAATACTATTCAAACATCCACAGTCCACAGGTAAATATCTTAACTGCAAACCTCTATAAAATCAAAAGACAAATTACATACTCCCAACATACAGTGGAACCAAATACACATTATGATTCCAAAAGGGAGGAATGGAGGCATAGTAAGGAAATACCAGACCAAAACAAGGCCGAAAACCAGCAGGACAAACACCAAATCCAGTAGCTCCATGTCTAACTTCTGGGACTTTACTTCCAAAGGGCTTAGACGGCTCAGCCTCTCTCTTTGCTGCATGTAACACACATCTCTCTCTTGTGCTGGTACCACTCCCTGTGTATGGTCTTCTTGGCAGATGCCTCACAGCCCTGGCATGAACTTCTTGGGGTCTCCATTGCCAACCAGGCTTCACCTTCACAGCTTCACACAATGGCCTATTGGGGCCTTCTCTATGCAGGGGAATCCCTGCTGCACACTGCCTGGCCTCAGCGGCTCTCTGAAACCGTGGAGGAAGAACTAATGACCCCTTCACTCTTCCATCTTTCATGCCTCTAAAGCCAGCAGTGCTTGAAGGGCACTGACAAGTTTGACTGCAAGTTGTGGTGGACTCCAGCGCTCTCTGAAACCGTGGAGGAAGAACTGATGACCCCTTCACTCTTGCATCGTTCATGCCTCTAAAGCCAGCACCAGGTGAACAACAATGCAAGTTTGACTGAAAGTTTGGGGTGGACCCCAGCCTGCTTTATCCATTTTAGAAGCTTTTCTCTTCAGTGGCCCCTGCAGAATTTTCCTTTCACAAGTTGGAGAATTAACTGGGTGTGGTCTTTCCCTGGAGGCTCTCTCTCCAGTGTTTAAGTTTGAATCTCTAGGCCCCTCCTTAATCACTTTAATCTCCTTATCAATGGGATCCTCTCCATCACATGCCAGGGCTCCAACATTTATCTTCCTAGTTCTCTTTTTCAGTCCAAACTGTATTTTTTTCTGCCCCATTTGCTCTCTTTCACTGTAGAGCTGCATAATATTCACCATTAATAGCCATGCTGCAGTTTCTACATTAGGCTGTCTTGAAATTTCTTCTGCCAAAGAAATTAGTCCACTGCTTTTCAACTTAGCTTCAGACAAGCTTTTTGGCTGTGGGCAGACTCCAGCGAGACTCTTTGCCAAAATATCCCAAGTGCTGCTCAAGTCCTTATTTCCCTCGGGAACTACACTGTTCTCAGCACTACTTTCTTCCACGTATGTACTAGAATGGCCTGTTAAGCTCTGCTTACAGCAGTCAACTGCTTTTCTAGCCCAACCTTCCAAAGTCTTGTACTTTTCTTCAAAACTCCACATGGTCAGGTTCTCCACAGTCAACAGCCCACTCTCTGGTACCAATTACTGTACTAGTCACTTTTCTGTTGCTGTGATAGAAACACTGACCCAAGCAATTTATAGAGGGAAGAGTTTATTTGAGCTTATAGTTCCCACCTTCCAAAGTCTTGTACTTTTCTTCAGGTTCTCCACAGTCAACAGCCCACTCTCTGGTACCAATTACTGTACTAGTCACTTTTCTGTTGCTGTGATAGAAACACTGACCCAAGCAATTTATAGAGGGAAGAGTTTATTTGACCTTATGTTTCCAGGGGAATTACAGTCCTTGGAGGCATGGTGGCTGGAGGTGGCTGGAGCAGGAGCAGCAGAAGCTAAGCTCTCACATCATCATCCAGGCATAGGAAGTAAGAGGGTGACTGGAGACCTGACAAGGTTTAAGAACTCTCTAAGCCCACCCCTAGTGACTTGCTTCCTCCAGCATGGCCACACCTAAAATCACCCAAAACAGCACCATCATCTGGGGACAAAAATGTTCAAATATTTGGAGCCTATGGGGGACATTTTCATTCAAACCATCACAATATGCAAACTGCAAAGAAAGAAAAACAATCAATGGTCCAACCCAGCCCTAAAGCCTAATAACGATAACAACTGGCATGGCAGACTACCGCTATTGATGCAGTGTGGCACTGCTATCTGGGGCCAATCATCAGCTATCTAATTAGACTTAAAACTCTCTCAATGGGAGGGAGCTCATGGGTGGCACTGTAAACTCAGCTAAATACACATGGCAGGAGAGAACACTGACCTGGAGAAAACCCTATCTCTTTCATATCTCTAGACAAAGGAAATTTCTTATTATGTGCTAAATATTGATCCTTATAGTTACAGACAAGCATGCCATACAGCACTCATCAAAGAAGCTTCTTTTTTGCAACAGATGGAGGCTACTGCAGAATTACACATCTAGTAAGACACAGAGGACATACTTCTCAGAGAAGTCCAATGCTAGGCAACACATCTACAATTGAAACTCTACAACTAGGGCTCATAGAACACAGCAGAACACGGAGTAGAGAGAAAACTAATACATCCCTCAAGTCTCACCAGTGAAGCTCCCTTATACAACTGAGTGTGATGCACACAGGTCACAACTGGCAAATTTTAGAGAATAAGAGGCTGCAGAGTGTAGGATAGGACTCCTATGTGGAACCTCATCCATCCACAGCTCAGGGACCATTGCAGAAGAGGGGATGGAAAGATTGTAAGAGCCGGGGCTGGTTCATGAACACAGGGAAGCAGAGGCTTCCAGGCCACTGGAAGCTCGCACGTGTGAACTTGTGGCAATGGTGGCATCGAACACAGGACCCAGGGCAGCTCAAGTAAACAAGGGCCCAAAGGGGAGGCTAGAAATAGGTGGTGGGCCAGCACTAGATTGAGAACTACTGGAGACTGATTGCTGCTGGGTGAGGGAGAGTATGGCTCACATATAATCTCTAGATGGGCTGACTAGACTCCAGTGGATGAATTTACACTGAAGGACATTTGGATACAAATGCCTGA